CTAAGTGCTAATAGGCAACTATTAATAATAATAATAGTAGTAAACTACTGCTACTACTACTAGTGGCACTAATAATAATAAAAATAATGATAATGATGATGAGGAAAAGGAGGAGGATGACCGCATCAGTTTCTTCGTGAAACCATCCACGATGACCATCACAGATGGTTTGTTAGCAGAGCAGGTTCGCACCTTAGTTGAAATATTGTTAGGGAGAAGTACACCCTAAACTGCATTGAGCTTGATTCAGAAGCTGCTTTGTAGTTACTTCAGGCTTGGGCCAACCACTGTGCGCTTTGATTGAAGAATACAAAAAGTTAACCTAATTAATCCTATTCCGGTGCCAGCATACCTAAAAAGAAAGGAATGCACTGGCAGAGTGTTTGGCAGACAAAGGCCTTAACTTGAATGAGGATATAGATGGGTATGATATGCCCCCGGAGAGCTAAAAGTGTGTTAGTTTCAAAGATTGACCCAAATGGGATGAACTCATGATGTTAAAGTTAGTGTGAGTGATTTGTGCTTCTACCCAACCAAAAAACGGACTATTGGTCTCTCCCATTTTCTCCTGATAAAAAGAAAGGTCATGTGTGCCCGATTGAAGATGTCATCAAGGAAAATATGCCAGAATCCTTTTATACACACAATAAACCATATATTTATACAAGGCTAAACCCAACTAGACTGAACAGATGTGGGGAGCAAAGTAGGTTCAACCAGCTCTTGTGTTTCCTGTGCCATCGTGGCTAGCCTCTAACAACAATACATCTATGTGATCTAGCATATTTTCAATTTCACTCAACACATGCATTTGAATATATGGGGCAAGTTATCTTTGTCAAAAAATAAAGAACTAAAGGACACAATGTAGTGAAAAACATTGTGGACTAGATGTAAAATAGATACCATAGTTCACTAAGCCAATGTACCTTCTTTGTGATAGTTTATAAAGGTCGGTGCTTCTCCTTCAGCAAATTCAGCAGCATATTCCTCCGATCCTTGAGCTGTGCCTCACCAAAATGGACCATGATCAGCTTATTTCAAGTACTACATAAATTTATGCACACTGCATTCCATCGGGATTGTTTCTAATGGACTGGTATCATATATATTCACAATTGAAATGTCTAGCACTCTAGCCAGAGAAATTAAAAGAACTATTTTTGTTTTTTTTCGAAGGGTAAAGAATAACAATATCAAAACTCAACAAGTGAAATCCTGAAGAAATATATCATCTTCAAAATAAAAACAGGAATTTAAGCATTTTTGGTTATTAATGTAGTTAATAATAATAAAATAGATAAACCTTGTCTATTGTCTTCCTTCTTGCATGCAGTTAATCCTATGGCAATTTCAGCTGCTCCTTTTTCATCTGGCGCTTCTACATTCCATTATGTAAATTGACAGGCATTAGATGGTGCCAACTACACTAAAAAATCAATATCCACCAGTTAAATGAAGTGAAGACTGAGCAGAGTATCACACTAACACATTTGAAGAAAAAGGTCAAAATTTTATAAACAGATGCTGGGAACATATATCATTTGATCAATGAACTGATAAGTAAATGATTTTTTTTGTATGACAGACAAACAAACCTTTTGTATTATCTTCTGCAATGGCTTTGGTTAATTTCAGTACATTTACAGTTCCCTCCACAGCTTCCACTCCTACATCTGTTTCTGGTTTTTTATGGTTACTTTCATTGAGCAGAGTTAACCCTTCAGCAATTTCAGCTGTTTCTCCGTCCTCGTCTGTTTCAGCAATGCCATCAAATAAATATGGTAAATTGGGCTTATTCCAGATTTTCATATACATTTAAAACGTCAACACGTAGACTCAAAAAAACAGATAATCGGAGCTTATAAGTCAAGATACGGTAGATACACATTCTCTATATGCCATTGAAGAATTAATCAATGTTAATTCCATAAAAAGGGCAAACCTTTTCTGCTGTCTACAACATCGGGTGAGACTAATTCTTCATCATCTTCAGCTCCCGCTTCGTCTATATCTTCCTCCTCACATTCCTCGTCTTCTTCTTCTTCTACTTCTTCTACTTCTTCTACTTCTTCGTCTTCTTCTTCTTCTTCTTCTTCTTCTTCTTCTTCTTCCTCGATCTCTTCCTCTACTTCTTCATAATTGTAATCGTCATCATCCATCTCCGTTTCAGATTCGGGGGATGGATCGGCCGCTGCGTCAGAGAGAGGCATCTCAGTCAGGGCGCAGCAGCGACGGCAGAGCTCCGGAGAAGAAGAAACACGGGTTGATTGAAATTAGGGCTCAGGAAACGGCGAGGAACCCCAATTATATTGTTGGATATTCTCATATACATATCTCCATTTCACTCACTTTCTCTCCAAATTACTCATCAGCATTCCACTAACTTCTCACTATGATCCAAAATTGCCTTGAAAATGTGCCTTTCCATTTTTATATCATTCATCATTTTTTAATTGCAAATTGCAAATTTATATAAATTTAATGCAATTTTTATTTTAAGAAAAAAAGATGAATAATAATAAACAAAATAAAAGTATAATTACTCTATATTAAATTTTAAAGTATAATTACTCTATATTAAATTTTAAAAAATCGCATTGATATTTTGTCTCAATGTGAGTCATTACTCTCACACATGAATTACAAATGAAAGCCTCTATATTAAATTTTAAAGTATAATCTTTGCGATACAAGTAGATTTATTTTTGTTAGAAAGAATGTATGACGTCTCTATTTGCTTGAATTTATAAAGTTTAATAAAACAAAGCCTTGTTGACACTAATAATGTGTTGGGAATTAAATACACATGTTAGACAATAATACTAATAGTACTTCTTGTAGTATTGGTTATGGTAGTGTTTCATTATTAGTCAGCTTTCTAATCCTATTTGTGATAGATGTTGTATGTTAGTTAGTTTTCATTTTATATTCCTAGTTGTGTTAGGAGTCTCTCATATATATACTCTATCATGTACTACATAATTCAGAGAGCAATATTATTATTCCAATATTCCAACATGGTATCAGAGCCACCGCTCTTGGTGACCTAAAAAAAAAGTTCTTTGCTCCCATTGCCGCCGCCGGTAATTTCGGCGACGGCGGCTCCACCCTATTCACCTTTATTTTCTTTTTCTTCTTTATTCTCAAATTAACTTCTCCATTCAAAAAAAAGAAAAAAATTCCCGTGTTGAAATCACAAAAAAAGTCGTCAAAGGAGAAGCTTCCCTCTTGCCATCTCCATGATTCTTCAAAAAAAAAAACCCCAACTCCTCACAAACTCTCTCAGATCATCCTATCTTCTCAAAAAAAGGAAAAAATAAATGATTGTTGTTTCTCTCCAATTCACCATATCAAAATCTCATACCCAATTTTTTTTTCCATCACCAATTTTTAACCTACTTTTTCTCTCTAAAATCACACATTCTAATCATAACCTCCCTTCTCTTTCTCTTCTGTTGAACCATTAAAAATCCAAAGTAAATCAGCACAAAAAGCAAAGCCAAGAGGGGAAGTAGTGAAAGATGAAATAAGACCTCTACAACTCACCCCTTCAAGAAGGAAATGGAGCATTGCCCGGATCCAAGAAAAAGACAAAAAATGTCAAGGATCTTCAGTCAAACAGGCACCTCGAGTAGCTTTCTCTATTCTTCTTCGACGTCAGTAGCTACAAGCGCACGTCAACCTTCTCTCTTCTTCATCGATGTTAGCAGCTACTAGCGCACGTCAATTTCTCTCTCTTCTCCAACGACGTCAGCAGCCACCGGCACACGTTAGCTTCTCTCTTCTCCAACGACGTCAGCAGCCACCGGCGCGCGTCACACTTCTCTCTTCTCCAACGATGTGAGCAGCCACCGGCGCATGTCAGACTTCTCTCTTCTCAAAGTTTCCAGTTTCCAGCTAGAGTCCAAGCTTCCTCTTGCTTCAGCCAGAGTTCAGCTTGAGGGGGGATGTTAGACAATAATACTAATAGTACTTCTTGTAGTATTGGTTATGGTAGTGTTTCATTATTAGTCAGCTTTCTAATCCTATTTGTGATAGATGTTGTATGTTAGATAGTTTTCATTCTCTATTCCTAGTTGTGTTAGAAGTCTCTCCTATATATACTCTATCATGTACTACATAATTCAGAGAGCAATAGTATTATTCCAATATTCCAACAACACAATACACATAAATAATCTGCAAGAATTGAGAGAAAACGGAACACAGATGACAAACAAGAATTTAACGTGATTCGATTTCCTTAATCCATGACTGCAATAGGAAGAATTTTATTTCGCTTTTGGTCTTGAAAAATTACAAATTAGCAAAATTGTTCAAATATTTTGGGATGAAAGTGCTTTCTTCGTCCCAAAAAGAATATCACGTCTCATTATTCAAAAATTATAAGAACTTTTATTTATTTGTACGTTTTTCTCAATTATTTGATATAATAATAAATGTTTTATCTGAAAAAATTTTGATGTAACTTTTAAATATGTAAATTTTATTTTTAATTTTTAAACCAATGAAATAAAATAAAGTGAAAATTTTTAAAATTTACTATTCCCTCCGTCCCTATATATTTGTCACACTTGTGTTCACGAGGTAAAATATCAAGTTTTTTCAATTAATTTTATTTACATATTGGTATAGAAATAAAAATAAAATTTACATCTCAAAAAAGTACATGAAAAGTTTTTCGAAATAAAATGTGTCAAGAATATTTTATTTATCAAATAACCAATGAAAATGTAGAAATAAAACAAAAGTTCCTGCGACTACTGAGAGAAGATCTGATTTTCATCTACTTTTTGAAAGGCGGAAAGTAGAAATATAAAAAAAAATACAGTATGATGAAGAAAAAGGGTATTTCTAATCACATGTGGGAGAAAAGATCTGATTTTCATTTACTTTTTGAAATGAAAGAAAAAACAGCCTCCATGTAGGGGCGCATAACTACACGTGGCAGAAATGAGAAATTCTACCTGCGTAATCTACAAATATCAAAGTACTCAATATCACGTGCTCACACGCGCCATATCCATTTCGAAGAACCCCCACTCAAGTCCACCCGCCGCCGTTCCGCCGCTTCCACCGCCGCACAAAATCTGAATGAAGAGAAATCGGCTCTTTGTATTCAAACCGACGGTGATGACAACTTACAGAATGCTTCAAGTTCTTAATTTGGTCTAAGATTTACATAATAAAGAGAAGATTATTTAATGGGGAAATGGACCGGCCGGGCGGTTCACAAAGTTTCCGGCGGTGGGAGGTTGAGATCGAGGTTTAGAACGATGCTTTTGTTAGGCTTAAGATCCCGATTCATGTCGACCACCGAGGACGAGTCGGACTCGCTCTGCGCCGCGGCGTTGCCGGCGGATTTGTGTAATTTCGGCGAAGAAAATTGCGGGTTGAGGGGCGGGTTAATTGACCCGGCACGCGCCAGCGCGTTGAAATAAAACACGTGGTGGCCCGGATGCGCGGTGGCCGGGTACCCGCTGACGACTACTGGTGCGCCGTGGAACTGGTGGTTCTGGTACGGAAGCTTGACCGCGGTTACCCTACCGACAGATCCGCCGACGGTGAGATCCAACAGAGACGAATCGGCCAACGCGGCCCTAGAGAAACGACCGCCGTCGCGGCTGGAGGATTCGACGGTGCTGCACTGGCTGGCACTGCGGTTGCTATTTCCTCCCCCTCCACCGCCGCCTCCGCCGGTCTTCTCCGATGTAATTTTGCTCACGCCGAATTGGGCGCAGAAATCGAGAGGAATCCGCTCCGCCGCCAGAGGGAAATTGGTTTTCGCCTTGGCGCCGCGGAACTGCCTGGCGGCATTGTCGTAGGCCAGGGCCGCCTCCTCGGCGGTGTCAAAAGTCCCGAGCCAAACGCGGCTCTTCTTCCCGGGATCTCTGATCTCCGCCGCGTACCTCCCCCACGGCCTTTTCCTCACACCCCTGTAATGCACACCGTTTCCGCTTCTCTCACCCGGCGGGAACGCCGTCGCCGTCGCCGCCGTCATATCCTTTGGAGCCATCCAAATCAATCCCCCCACCGGCCACCTCTTTCAATCAATCAATCAATTAATTGCTTGATTTCGGGTACGAGAAAATGAAACGGAAGAGAGGATTTGAAGGTGCGGCTGAGAGAGAAGAGGGGAGAGCCGATGAATAAATAGGGAGGGAGTCAAACGTGGCGTTGACTGAAGAGAGATCGCCGCTCCACTGCCCGTTCAATGGGGCCCTTCTTCAACGTTACGTGGCATTTCTCCGACTTTTAAAGTGAAAAGCTTTGCACGTGCTAGCGAGCATAGAAAAATTGATCATGATAGATTGAGATTTGGAACGAAAGAAGATATGACCGATGTGGTTCTTGAGACTAGTTCGGTCTTAGATCGTTAGTCTCATTTGGTCCTTGATTTCTTATGAAACACTAGATCAATCTCGAATAAGATAGCCTTTTTCAAAACAGTAAACAAGGACCGAACTATGACTAGAGATATAATGTATTGAAAATATACTATACATATATATTTATACTTTAAATTTAATTTTTATATAAGTAAGTTTATTCTATCAATATAGAACATAGTACATTGCATAATTTTATTTAAAATTTACAAATAAGTGATTGATATCTATAAAACATGCATATTAAATTTATTTTTCCATTAAATCTATCAAATTTTCATCTTACATAACAATATTCATGTTGCATAATTATTATAAATCAATGAAGATTAGAAAACAAGAAATTAAATAATAAAAAATAATTTTTTTTAAATTTTTTACAAGAATTTTTTGAAGAATTTTTTTTAAGAATTTTACATATTAATGACTAGATCGGACTTGGACCAGTCCTAACATGACTAATCGGTCTCAAAAGGTCCATATTTTTTCATGAAGACCAGTGATAACATTTAGGATGGGGTAAGGACAACTGGATTGGGTAATAAGACACTTGGGTTGAATCACATTAAAAGATTGAATCCAATCGATTAGTTAATTCAACTCAAGATGTTATATACCGATTATTTTGCTCTTAAACTTCCGATGTGGGATGACACTCCAACAACTAGTTTGAGTCGATTTTTAAAAAAGGTTGATTCCGTCCTAAATAGTACTAGTCTTTTCAAGAGACCGATCTAGTCTAACTAGTCAGGTCCTTTTTCTCATCTCTAGCATGTCCCTTGGCCTAGATCAGGTCCTCAACTGGTTCTGATTGCGTTGTTACATATCAAACTATTTAAAAATTATGTAGATTTTCTCATGAATTTTAAAAATTAAACTAATGATCTGTAAATTTTTAAAAACGTTGTATCAATGGTTTCTTTGTACCAAATTTGAGAGTGCGTTACTCACGTGTTTGTTTAGTATAAGTATGAATTTATCTAAACCCATATATCACACGTGAGTTCTACATATGCTTTTCCAAATACTATCTTTTATATTTTTAACATCCTGAAAGTCTAGATAATTATTCTTGCTTGAGTTGTCATCAGTAACACAACTCGAAGCCCAAATATCGATCGACCAAGCTCTTCATCAATTCATGCCATCTTCATCAAGCTCCAAGGGGTATATCTATGAGCGTGTGAGTAACGCACTACCAAATCTGACACAGAGAGACCATTAATATAACGTTTTTACAAGTTCATGGACCATTAGTGCATTTTTTAAAATTCATAGGAGAATCCTCACAGTATTTTAGGGGTTTGAGGATAAAAGTGCAAAAAACTCTAATGGGAAGTGGATAGTTTCGACTGTAATATTGTCAAAATAAGATTAAAATATAAAGAAATTATTAAAATGTATATGACACCTATTGTTTATCTTCAAGATTTGACTTATAATATTAATGATGTGAACATATAGTATAAAAAATATTATAGAATGCCAATATGCAATATTGTATTGTCATTGTGAAATAGTTCTACTCCGGAGATGAAAATATCAACTCCTAAATTGGAGATATGATGGACAAAGTACAATAGAGGTACATGTATTATCTACAAATATTCAAATTAGTCTGTATACTCAAAATCCAAACAATTTAGTCTTTATGCTCTTTTTTTTGTTTAATCTGCATGTTCTTCAATTTACTTTTCTCTTACTTATTGTCCCAAATTTTTAGAGGTAACCTCTATCTTACTTATTAAACTGATGAATATGAATGTTTAATTCCGGTTCTATATTTGTTGATCTTTTTTGTTCATCCATATTGAATTAAACATCCCAATTTTTTAATAAATGCATATTATTAAAATCAAGTGAATATCAAATAAGCACCAAAATTTAAAAGAAATAAAAAATGAACAAGGAACACACAAATACATAATGAAATTCTCTCAAATACCACCGAGAAACACCAAAAAAGTGAGGAGCACAGCAAATACCACCAAGAAACAACAAGAAATTTGGACCTATGAACCAAACTCATAATTGTTGGATTTGGGCTCCCAACTATGTGTTTTAAAAGTCCATTTGGAGTGTAATACTCAAGCCCAATATTTAGTCCACTTTTGATGAAAATTAAGGGTCTAATTTGAGGAGTACAGCTGGTTGAAAAACAATTATTCACGCACAAAAAGAGAAGAGAAAAACAGCCGCAAGAAGAGAGAGAGCCGCTGGTTTTTTCTGAAAAACGCAGACCTGGTTTTTTGGTCGATCGGAGGTCCAAATCTTGTCCGATCGAGCTGAAATTTTAGGAGGAGTCTAAGGACTTGTGGAGCTTCAATCTCAACGGTGGAGATCGAATTTCAACGGTTCAATCTCAAGTTATGAGCTTCGCACCATCTGTTGTTTTTTTGGTGATTTGTTACACTTTTGTTCCTCTATTTTGATTCTAGTGCCTTCGTAGTGTTGTTAAGGGCTAGATATCATTGTGGTGCTGTTATATTGTGCATTTGTACTCTCAATTTGGTGATAGTGGAGTTGGTTGGACCGAAGGGTCTCGTGGTTTTTACTCTTTCACATTGAAAGGGTTTTCCACGTTAAAATCTCGTGCCTCATATCGCTTTATTTTTGTGCTTGGATTATCTTGTTGCTTGGTGTTCTTTGGTGTGTTTGTTTGTTGCTCCTCACAGATTCATTCAAGAGGGAAAGATGTTGATCTTGGGCACTACACATTCATTTGTGTTCTTGCTTTCCCAACAATAATCTTGCTCAAATCAAATGATTTTTTTATTGGAATGACAAACCAAACCCAAAATCTCAATCAGCCAACGAATTCGACCACGATCCACAAAAAATTAGCCTTTAATCGAGTAAGAACCGAATGAATTCAGACCTGCAAGTTAGGAGACGAATAGTAATTTCGAAGGATGCAGCATTCAATTTTGCGATTTATACGCCCAAAACAACAGAATGAGCTCAAGATTAGATTCTCTTGTTGATTGCGAACACACACCAACAAGAATCGCAAGAATTGGTCCAGGAAATTGATGGGAAATGCGATTCAGAGATCATAGAAGATGATGTGGGCCTGTAAATCAACAGGAGATGAAGACCAGGGAGACATATGAGGTTTTGATCGGGAGATTTTCTTAATTGTCCCAAATAAAATATAGGAGGTCTGTGTTAAGACCTGCGATTCAGAGATGAAGACCAGGGAAAGGCATATCAGGTGTGTGTCGAGCAAATCGTTCCACTATTGAGAGATAAGAAAAATGCACGAACAAGATGAAGATCAGGGAGACATACGAGGTTCTAATCGGTGAAATCATTAGAAATCTCCCGTTGTGACAATAGATTTGTATGAGTGAAATTTAAGCATATTTTTCGAAGAGAATCCAACAAAATCAATAAAGTATTAAAATCCATAGATTATTGTATACTTTAAGATTTTTAAAGAATTTTAAAAATATATATTAAATACCTTTGGATTGTACAAGACTTTTGAAAACCTTTATTGAACACCATAGAATTTGTATAGATTTCCAAAAATCTAAATTGAATACCCTCAAATTTTGAAAGTCTAAAAAAATCCTGAAGAATCTCTATTGAATACACACCTAGGGTACTCTTTAGAGCATTCACAATGGCAAGACAATGTCTTGCCTTGCCTAGCCATGTCAGCAAATGCCACTCAAATCATGACATTTCATGGTCATTCCACCCCACTTTTCATTCCATGTGCAAGGCATGACTCCCTCGTTTTTTATTTTTTAAATATTTCTAATATTTTTAATTTTTGAGAAAAATATTTTTTAAAAGAAGTAGACATATTTTAATAATAAAATAAATATGTAAAATAATTTTTGATAATTAAAATTCATTAAAAAAGTACAAAAATAGACAAAAATAATGACTTGCCACTGTATGTTATGACACTCCACTCATTTGACACACGGTGACTGTATTATTTTTTATTGGTTGAAATATTTCATGTCAACGTATGACATTTCATTTTTTTCTTGTCATTGCTAATGCTTTTAACTTACCAACTATTCACCTCCCACGACGAGCACTCTTTCATTAACTAATGAAATGATGGCCGCCGGCGGCTAACAATTATTTATAGACCGGACACTTCACTTCAATTAATGATTTTTTAAGGTCGTCAATTATGATCGACTTTGCACGTGCGCAATCAATTTCTTTGATAAATCAATCAATTGCATTACGTTTAATCAATCAATTGCATGCGTTTAAGGGGTGTATTCAATCTTGATTTTTAAAGATTCTGACAGATTATTTTGAATCCATGGATTCTGTAAAGTCAATGGATTATTTAAAATCTATGCAAAGTTAGATAGATTTTAATGTATTATGTTAACAGGATTTTATAAGATTGTGATAGATTTTTTTATTATGAATGTATTATGAATGGATTATCAAGGTCTTATATGTGCACATCTCTGCCTTCTCCAACACCTAATGTTCTTGCATTGGTAGTACTACTCAACCCGATTGAGTTTTTTCCAACAGCTACATCGTTCACAATTGCAATTTTCAAGTTCTCACAATTTCAAAATATTCCATAACGTAATTCGGTGTTATCCTTTGGTTGAGCCTATAAAAAAGTTATATGGAGTAGATTTCAAAATCAGGAAGGATATATGGAATACATAATTTATATTCTTTCAAAATCATGACTCCAATTAAATCAACCCCATCAAAAATTAAAAAAAAAACTGCATTTTGCAGCAAAAAGAAAGACGAAATCAAACATATCATCTTCTCCTTCGTCATCTCATAATTTTTTTTATCCAACAAAAATTCAAATTCTCTATGCGTTCGTAGAGTGACTAAGAACCACACATTTTTTTCTTCTCATTGTTTAGCTGCAGAAGGATAATAGGGTAAGCGGAAAGTAGAAGCGTTCACTTTGGGTCGGAAATTAGGGTTTAAAATTCATAAAGAAATTCGCTAAAAACTTCAAAATCATGTTAAAGTTTACCTTGATTTGAACAAATTATTGATAAACAAAGAGAAAAACAAGTTGTTAAATAATACGTAGTAAAGAAGACCTTACCTTGAAGATGGAGTGAAGGATTGACAGAGAGATGAAGCTGGAGAAGATGAACGAGTTCCTGCGCGCGGAGGAAGAGAATAGGAGTAGGCCAAAATCTCAGGGCTTTTGGTTGGATTTGAAAATTGGATTTGTATTTATATCCAAGGTATGAAAATCCATCAAAATCCACATTTTTTAAAATCTTTAAAAATCTATCAAATTTTGAATACCATCATATTTAGAAAGATTTTTTAAAGTTTGTATTGAATACGCCCAGATTTTAAATGACTTCTTATATTCTGAATTGAATACCTACGGATTTTTAGAATCCAAAAAAATCAATCAAAATCCGAATTGAATACACCCCCCTTAGATAATTCATCCGTCCAAAAAGGTTATTATAGTAATTAATCAATTGAATGATAAGAAACCTTTAACCTTCCTTGATAGGAAAAAAAGTACCAAAATATTAAAACAAGAATTCTAAGAGCATGTTTTTTAGGATCGGAAAAAAAAGAATTGGATGTTGGAAGAAACTAGAAAAAACTGAAAGAAACAAGAAAAAACTGAAAGAAACTGGGAAAAACTAGAAGAAAGTGGAAAAAACTAAAACTAACTACTCCCTCCGTTCCACAAAACCCTTCTGGTTTTGACTTTAGGTAAAAATAAGGAAAGTGTAATTTTGGTTGACTTTTCAATTTTTACCCCTGATATGATGGAAAAAGGTAAGATGTGATAGTTTGGTTATTAGTGAAAAAGTATGCTGTAATAGGTAAGGTATGAAAAAGTATGGGTAAAAGTGATTTGTTAATAGAAAGTGGAAGTGTTTTGTGGAAGACAAAAAAATGAAAGATGAAGGGTTTTGTGGAACGGAGGGAGTAGAAGAAACTGGGAGGACTGGAAGAAACTAGAAAAACTTCAAAGAATTAGAAAACAAAAAAACTTTAAATTTTATTTATTGTATTTTTATATTACTGTGATTCTATTTCTTGTTTTTTATACATAATAATAATAATAATAATAATAATAATAATAATAATAATAATAATAATAATAATAATAATAATAATAATATCATCACCATCATCATCACGTTATCTTAATGAATGTCTTTAGAATAAAAAATATTGTTATTTTTCAAATACAAAAAAGTACTTCTGCAAAACAAATAACTATAATATAAAGTTAGCATAAATATCAAAATGTTAAATTTTAAAAAGTTTTTGTGGTTACGTTGCACCTTAATTTATTTATGAAATATTTATTGTAAATAATATATTTGTAATTATATTGTATATATTACAAGATTTTGTTTTAAATATGAGACATATCACTTAATGTAATCAAACTATTTTTCCTTTCATGATTGACATTTTATTTTCATTGTAAGTGTGTGTTTGTGTTGGCTTGGTATACAAATGAGGTACTCCATGTTGGTGTACCCTTAGCATTGCCCAATTTTTTTTGCAATGAACGTAATTTCCATAACGAAATTATTACATTTTTTATTTTTCTAAAAAAGTACTCCGTAAAATATACATGGTGAATAATTTATTTTTTTCTTAATAAATGTTTAATCAATAATTTTTTTACTTTTCACCATTGTTTTTCCAAAAAGTATTATTCGAAATAACCAACTAGAACTAAAACATACTTTCATATATCAAAATAATGTATTCAATACTTTAATGCTAAAATAAGACTTATAATGTGATAGTGTCAACTACAAGATATAATATCAATACTTGCATTTAAGGATTAAAACATAATACTCTGAATGTCTTATTTTGCTCTATATTTTGATATATATATATATATATATATATATATATATATATATATATATATATATATATATATATTTTGGTTTTATTTATAATGTGATAGCGTCAACTACAAGATATAATATCAATACTTATCTCTTCATTGTGTGTTATGATATTTGATTGAAGTGATTTTCAAATCATTTTATATGAAAAATGGTGTGAAATTAAAATTCAAAAATTACATATTAAAAAACTACATTATTTTATCAAATTACAAAATTAGATATGACATGACTATATTATTTTATCAAATGCGTAACGAAAATAGGCTAACAAAGCAAATAAAATTTGAACATGTGAATTGTGAACGAGAAGATAATTTTGAGACGGAGGGAGTAAATTTTTTTAAAAAAAAGTTGCCTAAAAAATTATTCAAAATAGGAGTAAAACACATCCTTATTCTCAGAATAAGAGTGACATATTTTTTCTCAAAATAGGTGTTTGCACTGTGATAATGTCATATCACATAGTATTTTGATGTACACCATATTCTATATTGATTATTAGCACTCGAACTTTTATTTTGAGCATAAAAATGTGAAATTTCTATTTTAACACTCTGTATGTTCTCTATGTTTTATTTTTAGTTACTCTTTATCTCATGACCTAATATCACAATATGTCATTAGTGATAAATATCAAAATGGTGTTGCTATATCTACTCTCATTTTGGATAAATCAACTTCATTTTTGTTAACTTTTGACAAGTTCACCATTAAAAATACAAAGGATGAAATTTAGAAGCAAGTCAAGCTTTAAGGTCAAAGCAGTCCATTTAAGATAAAAAAAAGTACGGAGTAGATTTAATTAGCTAAAGTAGGAATCGATAGAGCCAGG